GGACGATGGTCACCTTCACCGCCATCCCGTACAAGTCCACCACGCCATACACGACTGGGGGCGTCAAAGGGGTGGCCACACCTGCAGGGGGTGGGGGGGAGGCGGAAGGGCGGTGGGGAGTCACATACGGGGAGACCAGCCGCAGAAGCAGGGGGGTGAGGGCCAGAGCCCTGCCCCGGACACCCGGCGCCGCCGTACCCTGGTCGATGCCGTTAATGAAGAAGTGCAGGGCGGAGCTGGACTTCCTCGTGAGGCCGATGTGGTCACCCTCCTGGCCCAAGCAGGAAACACAAAAGGCTGGAATCCAGCCCCAGTGAGGCCCCACACGTGTCCTGGGGCCCCTGGATCAGAGTGGTCCCAAAGCCGTCCCGCCACCCAGGCCACAGGGGAGCCGCTCGGAAGGTGCGGGAGCCTCAGGGCCCCCGGAGTGCTTGCTGCGAGCCTCGCGCTGCGTTAGGCCATCTTACGCTCATCGAGGGATCTACCTCTCAAAGGGGTCTAGAAACTACTGCTCTTTTTAAATATTAGAAAAAAAGGAAGGGGGCCTGGGTGGCTCAGTGGGTTGGGCGTCCAGCTTCGGCTCAGGTCATGATCTCACGGTTCTCGGGTTCGAGCCCCACATCAGGCTGTGTGCTGACAGCAGAGCCTGGAGCCTGCTTCGGACTCTGTGTCTCCCTCTCTCTCTACCCCTCCCCCACTCATGCTCTGTCTCAAGAATAAATAAAAACTAAAAAAAAAAAAAACAAACCACCAAACTACCAAAGAAAATGAGTTCACTGCTTCCGCACCACGAATGGCCAAACGACTAAGACAAAGTAAAAGCCGGACTTGGAAACCCGAGCGCCTAGCTCGCAGGCACCCCTGCCTTCTCAGAAGGAACCTCCGGGCAGGATATAACAGGCCTTGCTCTGGGTCATGGGGGAGACCGGGCGCGCGGGCAGGGGCGCAGGGTACCAGGGCCGCCGCCCCACAGAGGGGCCCAGGCTCGGCGCCCCACCCTCACCTGCAGCTCATCCAGACTGAACTCACAGTACTCCCGGCGGGTGCCCTTGCCGTTGGTCAGGATCCCACAGCCACTCATCATGATGGTGCCTGGGGGAAAGCGGCCGCCCGGTGGGAACGGTGAGAACGCGGGCTTCCGCCGCCCGAGGGTGCCCCCCACGCTGCCGGCGGCCGGTACCTGACTGCAGGTTGGTCATGGTGGCCGGGTACTCTAGGCTGTTGGGGTTGTGGGTGGTGACACCGATCTCAATGGAGCCGGACCACTTGTCCACGAGCTTGTCGATGCGGATCTTGGGTGGAGCGACACCAGAAGGGGGAGACGGGGAACGTAAGTGCAGAGAAAGGCCCCTCGGGCCGCGGCTCTTCCTTGGGCCCCCGCCCTTCTGACGTCAAGGATCGAGCCCCGTCTCTGGCCCCCGGAGAGCGAGGCACCAGCCAGAGCCCAGGCTCTTGCGCACCTCAAACATCTCGTTGTCCCGGAGCGGACGGTTGGTCATGACCACCCCGTTGTTGAACTCATCTAGGGGCCGGCGGCGCTCGGCCGTCTTGTTGTTGTTGCTGAGTTTGATGAGGGTGCCGCACTTCTCGTGGAAGAGCAGGGCGTCGTTGGAGGTGAGGACGGGCGAGGTGGCAGCACCGCTGGACCCCAGTCCTTCCCCGGCCGGGGGGGAGCTCAGGTTCACATTTAGGAGCCCCCCGTTGTAGGCGGACAGGATGGCGTTGCCCACCACTTCCGAGAGCTCCATGCTGGCAAAGTCTACGGGCGGCGGCAGGGGAGGGGAGGGGAGGGGAGCTGAAAGGAGGCCCTACCCCCTCTGGCTCGCCACTCTCCCCCTGGCCGTCTCCTGAGGTCCCTCCCCTCGCCTGGTCCGCCTCACTTCCCACTGCCCTTCCCGGAACCTCCCAGAAGCCCTCACCATTATGCGACTCAAGGCTGTTAGGAAACGTCTCCGGCCGGGCCTGCGCTGGGGACACCATGAAGGCTGGGGACCAGGCGGGATGGGAGGGGAATGAGGGTTCAGCCCCTGCTGCAGGAGCCACAGCCAGGAGACCCCCTCCTCTACGCCCTGCGCTCCCCTTCAACAGACTTGGGGGGGGAGAGTAAGGGGTCCGGGTGGCCCTGCCCACACCCCGCCTTGTCTGTCACTACGTGGCCCCCACTCCTTCGACCGCTCCCCCTGCCCCGCCCCTCCACCGCTGCCCTAGCTGCATTCTCACCTTCGTCCCCTGGGGTCCCCTGTTCGGTCAAGGCAGAATCTTCAGGGGGCGCGGAGGGCTCGAGGGGAGGTGTAGGCGTGGGGGCAGGGGGGCTGAAACCTGGCTCAGGGGGCAGCACGGTGATCTGCGTGCACTTGCCGTAAAGGTCCACCACGGCCCAGACGCGCGCAGGGAGGCCCGAGGCGGCCACCCCGCAGTCCCGCCCGTTCACCCAGAGCCGCAGTTCTCCGGCAGCCGTGCGCTCCACGCCCACGCGGTCCCCTTCCCCCAGCTGGTCCAGGTCCTGACCGTACTCCTCCAGCACGGAGCGTCCATCCCTCAGCACCGAGCAGCCCGACACCACCCAGGAGCCCCCCTTGAGCCCCGTGGCGCTGCTCGGGAAGTCCAGCATGCTGGGGTCCAGCGCCGTCACCCCGATCTCAATGGAGCCACTCCAGGAGTTGACCTGTGATAACAGCAGCGGATCAAGACTCAGGATGGGCCACCATGGGCCTCCCGCCACTAGGGAACCACACTTCACAGACCACCGCGTCCCCCCTCTTCCCACGTCTCAGACAGCGAGCTGGCTCTTCTCTCTCGAGACTCGAGACGCTAACCCAGAGGTGCTGTCCCGCAAACAGCTTCCTGGACTTTGTCTCAGGGACTGTTGGGCTCGCCGTCTCCTAGCAATTCTGCTCCCTACTCTGGCTGCTCGGTGTCGACGACACCATGCCCGTCCCCACCGTCTGGGCTGGATTCCCTGGCTGCAGCCCCCTGCCACCTCTAAGGGCCGGGTCTCGGCGACATCGCCGCCACCCAAATGCACAGCTCTCCGTCCCATCTCCCAGCTCTCCTCCCCCCCCTCCCCACCCCCACCCAGTTCGCTCCAAGGTGCTGGCTCCGCTCAGATTCACTCACTCCCAAATTCCATCTCTGTGCACCTGGCCTCTTACCCAACGACACGCACGAGGCACACCTCCCTCTCCCTGAGTGTCCCTCCTCACCGTCCTTCTGGCCTGAGCTTAGTCTCCAGCGGTGTGCACTTGCCCCGCTTCTCTCCTCTCCTCCTACAAGGTCCCTGACGTGTCTCTGTCCTCCGCCTCCCAGAAACGATTCCAGGAGACCTGCTCCCTAAGCATTCTAGTGGCTGCAGCCCCGTGTCCCTTCCTGCTCCTGGGTCTGGAGGAAACGCAAGCTCTCCGTATCCCTTGGGACTGAACGTTTCTCCTTCACGCTCCCCTCCTGCCCGTCACCCGGTGCCCATAAGGTCTGTCGGTTCCCTCTCGGTGCCCGGCGGCCCCCCACCCCGCCTCCCGCTGGCCCGCTCCCACCACGCTCCCCGCTCGGCTCCGCACCTTGCGGTCGATGCGGACTGTGAAGACGCGGCCGTCGCGCAAGGGTTCCCGGCTCAACACCAGCCCGTGGTTAAACTCCTGGCCCGGCTGCTGCCGCCGCGCTGTACGCCCACAGGCCGACAGGCTCACCAAGCGCCCGGTGCGCGGGTGCAGCTCCCCGCCGCTGCCCAGACCCCCGCCGGACCCCGGCCCTGGGCCGCTCCCGCCGGGGCCCCCACCCCCACCCGGCCCCGGCCCGGGGCCTCCCCCAGAGCCCCCGCTCCCTCCCGACCCCGCCGCCATCGCCGCTGACACCCGGGCCGCGCGACAGCCGCGCTTGGCGGCACCGTGGCAACCGCGGTGCACAGACACCCGGAGGGAATAGGGCTCGGGGCTGGGGCCAGGTATGCTTTACGGCACTGCCGGGCGACGAAGCATCCCGGGCTAGGGAACTAATAACCACCGTGGTGGGAACAGAAGGACGACGGGGTCGGGCAGGCTTGCTTTACGGCACAACGAGGTGACGGAGGGGCTCCGCGTGGGGTGCCGACTTGGGCCGCGAGCTTTTACGACAGTAGTAGAAACGACCGCCTCAAGCATCTTTACGACGCAGGGGGTGCTGGCCCCCACCTTCAGCTTTGCGACAGCGGCCCCAACGACCCCGCCCCCGCCGAGGCTGGCGACACCTTGAAGTATTCGCTTTACGGCAACAGGAGGAGGTGTCTTCCCTTCGCTCTACACCCTCCGACGCCGTAGGAGCGGAGTCTGGAGCGTCCAGAGAAGGGAACTGGTAGTTTTATAAATGAAAACCTCTGCTCTCCGTACCGCCGGGACCGGACATGTTTTGCGACACTGTCGCAATCTCTCGACTTTGTAGCGCACCTCCCGTGAGAGGCAAAGCGGGCCGGCTTTGGGGGAGGAGAAGGGGCTCGTGATATTCCCAAAGCCCACCTTGAACTCCAACCTAGCCAAACCCTTAAATCTTAGAGCCACGGATGAAGAGTCCAACGAAACCCTAGCAGGCAGCCGTACCCCCCAAAAACCCCGAGCTATCATGCCCCCCAGCCTAGCTGTCGGAGCTCGCGCTGAGGCTGGAGGCCTGTGACGTCACAATTAAGGCTTCTTCCCCCCCCAACCCCCCGTGATTGGGACCCCTGACTAGGATTGGATAATTCGGATGAGGGCGGTGCTGGGGAAGAAGGGCGGGAACAAATCCGAGAGACAAAGAAAGGCCTTGGGGGGGGACAGAAAGGGAGGGGCAACCGGAGGGGCCGCTAGCCCCAGGTCCCTATGTAAAGTCTCGATGCTGGGGCCGCAGCTCCAGGTAGCTGAGCGGGAGGGCACTCGGGCCTCAGGCTTGACCCCCGCCGCCCCCGCCGCCCCCCGCCACGGTGGGGGCGGGGCCTCGGGGCGGGGCTATGTGGGGAAAGGAGGCGGGGCGGGGCAGCTGGGCGAGGCCCCCGGGTGGGGCCATGGAGGAGCCCGCGGCTCTGGGGGCTGCCGGCGGCCCCAGTGGGGAATCCCCGGGAGGGGCGACCATGGGGGTGCCTGGAGGAATCGGAGGAGTCGAGGCAGACGCCGGGCCGCTCTCCAGCGTAGCCCCGTTTCACGGTTCTGAGCCCTCCCTGCACTCCGGGGGAATCAGTCCTGTCTCTAGCCGGCCGTCCGGGGAGGTAGCGGTCCTCGGTTCCGGACCCCACCGGCACCCTGGGGAGGTTGCGGACCTCGGCCCTGGGTCCGGCCCATACCCAGGCGGATTAAATGCGCCCTTCCCTGAAACCAGTGTATCCGGGACCTACAGCCTCGGGTCCGAGGGGTCTGGGGTGTACAACTCCGGACGCAGTCCCCGCTCCGAGTCAGCTTGCTTGCACTCCCACAAACCTTGTGAGGACCGGCCCCGGAGCATCCTAAAATACAACAGCTCCATCTTGATGCAGAAATGCCCCATTGCGGAGAAGTAAGGAGCTCAGCTGGGCGGGCACCGTGCACTGAGCCCGGAGGGAGGGGTTTCGGACACGGGGGCGGAGCTAGGGGAAGGGGCGGGGTCCTGAGAACCAGAAGGGAGACCGCCGAGGGCGATTGGGTGGGAAAGCTGACGTTCCAGGCCCTGGGAGAGCAGCTGCTCCGGGGTAAACGCTGGCTACACCGTCCGTGATTACCGTTAGGTGTGACCCCCGTCCTCACTCCTACGCCGCTGAGACTACGAGCGGGTGCGAGAAGTTTCTGAATGAAAGAGTGACGGAGGGAAATTTTCCTACCCCTTTCTTGTGTCCTCCTACGCCAGGAAAAAGTCTCAGTGGGAGGACGAAATGAGTATCCTGGCCACGTACCACCCCGCTGACAAGGACCATGGATTTGTGAACGTGGATGAGCCCAGCACTCCCTACCTCAGGTGCTGAGCCCTCAGCCCCTAACGCTTCAGTCCAGATCCTTCCCTCTCCAAAGAGGGTCGGGGGAGGCAGGGAGGCTGCAGGGACTGGATCCTTCCAGATGCTCACCCCTCACCACGGCTACGTCCCTCCTCTGCAGACTGCAGGGCAGTGATAAGGATCTGCCTGGGACGTCCTCTCAGGCAGTGACTCCCGAGGCGCTGGCCGAGAGGTGAGAGCCCTGCCGGAGGTCAGTAGGGCTGTGGGGCCTCTTCCTCCCTCCACCCTTGAACTCTGAGGTCCCAGGCAGCTAGGCCCCATCTCCCACCTGCCCCTCCTTGTTCTTTCCCTTTGGTGCCCCCCACCAGGCTCCCTCCTCTTCAGGTTGGCAAAAATGGACACGCTCTATCCCAAGGTCCTCCAGTACAGTGATAACAGAAGCTCGGGGGCTCCAGACCACTTTTCCAAGACACGTGAGATGAAGGGTGGGGACTGAGCGGAAAGGGGAGGCAGGGGGAACTGTCAGCGAGAGTCTGGCGCCTGGCGGGAAAGCCAAGCTTCTTACAATGGCCCGCAGACTCCAGCGACTTCGACAACCGCCGGAAGACGCACTATGATGAAGGAAAGTTCTTCAGGACTCGGAAAAGTTTTCTCTTCGATGATAACAAGCACAACAGCAAAGAAGGCGGTGGCGGTCGGGGCATGATGCTGGACCCGGAGCCCAGGCCTGTGGCGACAGGCTGGACCGGAGGACTGGCCAGAGGAGTCAAAGATGAGATTGGCCTGGTGATCAGGAACCATATCCCAGAAGCCAAGGGTTAGCTATGGTGGGACCCCAGGGGCTCATGGGAATTGTAGTCCAGAGTCTTCACCATGCCCTGTCTTTCTCCGTGGCCATTGGCCCAGGGCCCTGCTGGGAGGTGACCCTCAGGGAAGACAAGACAGCTGGGGTGGGGACCTCGTCAGAATAGTCCTCAGGAATCCCAAGAAAACCACAGGGGATGGAGACGTCACTGGTATTTTCTAATACGGGAAGAGGCAAGAGAAGTGAGACGAAAACCCAGGGCTGGAACTTCTCCCCTGCAGATGGGGCCATAATGGACACCTGGGGGTCCCTGATACCCTAGGTGGCCATAAGACTCAGATGGGCTGGGATGACTCGTCAGATTCTCCTGCCTTCAGAAACCAGTGCCCAGCGCCAGCCCCCATCAGGTCAGACCAGGAGACTGACCTGCAGCAACGCAAGGAGTATTACATCAAAGGAAGATACCTGAGGTGCTCCCCCCACCCCAGTGAGAGCGCGGCCGGCCCAGCCCAGGGTGGGGGTGCGACAGCCCCAGACCGAGGGGTGCCCCAGCCTTGACCCTGTGGTGCTTCCAGGCTCTGCAAACTTGAACTGGGCGATGGAGAATCCCATAAGCACTGAGGTCCGTCTGTTGGACCACCCCGGAAGCCCCGCTCAGGATCACAAGGCCACCAAGGACTGCCTGAAAGTGACAGCGACAAAATCGCAGCCTGGTGAGGGCACCAGCCCCCCTAGCTGGCTCCTGGCCAGCTCCCATCCCCCCACCCCCCTTCTTTGCATATCGGTAGACCAGCAACAGATGCTAAGAGCGGCCTCAAGCATCCTGGTGTGCAAGGCCCACGTTGTACCGAGAGGAGCCAGGGAGGCTTGGAAGGGGTTGGGACCCCCTCCAGCCTCAAAGTAGCTATTGGTCCCACACACCCCCCCCCCGACTCCCCTCTGCCCCCACCCCCTCCAGGTGCTGCTCTGTCCTACAGAGACCATGGGTCCAGATCAGAGTCGGGCTGGTGTCAGTGGCTGGTATCCAAGGAACTTGCCTGGCAAAGCCCAGAATGCTTGGAGACGGAGCGTGGCAGCCACTCAAAGTCCCCAAACAAAAACTAATGCAGACATGAGCCTGGGCGGTGGGGGTGGGGGGGACGGGGCGGGGGCAAGGGGGCTGCCTGAACCAGCTGGGAAGGGAGAAGGCCTAAATGGGTGAGTTCTAGAGAGTTGCAGGGTCATGTGGGCCAGATCTCCTGCTGCAAGGAAGCCAGTAACCCGGTCATTTCTCTCTCCAGATGGAGCCCTACGTCTTCAGTGGACGCAAGAGGAGAAAGCCAAACCATGGAAAATGTAGCCAGCTGGGGATGGGGTGGGTCCCAGCTTCCCCCTGCCCTCACTGTCCTCAAGGTGGACAATAAAGAGCAGTGCAAGGAGCCTGGGTGCCCCGCATCGTTAGCCGGGCCTGGGCCTGCTCATTCACGGAGGAGAGGGGAGGAGGGAAGGCCTGCCGCGTACAGGAAACCACAGCAGGCAGAGGGGAGAAGAAAGCTTGGAGCTGCCTGGGGCACTGGACTCGGTGCCCAGAAATCCCCCCACTGCCGCAGGGGGCCAGTGATTGGGTGGTAGGACTCTATCAACCACAAATGTGCCAGTGTCGTCATCTTTAATTGCTACAATGGCCCTGGGTGGGGAGGTCATCTTGCCCATCTTCCAGATGAGGAAACTGAGGAATCAGAGAGCTGGCCCGGGGTCACACAGCCTCTGAGTGGCAGAATCAGGACTGGAGAGGGTATCTGCCCGCCACCCCTGGCCCCCAGCACGGCTGAAGGAGACAGAAGCGGGTTCTGGAACTGGGGAGGAAGGGGACTGAAGATAGTCTCTGTGGGTGGGGCTGTGGCTTTTCTGCCGCCCCGCCTCCGCCCCTCCCGGTGCTGTCTGCAAGTGTGAGGTGAGAGCTCCTCCTTGGACACCCCTAACCCTTTGGGAAGGAATTGAGCCTCCTACCCCCTCCCCAGGCTCTTCCTAGGAGAGGATCCCCCCCTCCTCAGCCTCCTCAACCCCTCCGGGGGCAGGGAGTGCTTTCCCCCTGCAGCCCCCCCCCCCCCCCCCCCCCCCCCGCCATCCGGCCCTCCCCTCCCCGTGCGGTCGGCGAGATGACGGTCAAGCTGGATTTCGAGGAGTGTCTCAAGGACTCACCCCGATTCCGGTAAGTGTGCACACGTCTGGGTGGCAGAGGGAGTGAGGTCCGACCCCCGTCCGCAGTGGACACACCACACCCCTGCCCAGACCAGACATCTTTCCAGGGACTAAGTCTCAAAGGGACAGGATCGAGCTTCTAGGCCATTCTTAGGCCCTAGTAGCGCCTCGACTATGAACCCCCAGACTCTGATGCTCTCCACCCGCCCTTCTTGTGCAGAGGGGGCCTCATAGCCCCTCTTTTCCCCAGAGCAGACACTACCTCCTCCGGCGCCTGGGACCCTGCCCCTCCCCCAGCACCTGCTGGGGCGGTTAGCAACTTCCTGCCCTCGCCACATCCACCTCTCTTTTTACCCTTCCTGCTCTGGTCTGGGCCCTGCTAGCTCTCAGGCCGCCCAGGGTGACAGCCAGGGCTGGCGGGCAGGTTTTCTGACCCCATCAGCCTTTTCTGTCTTCCCCCTTCCCCCCTCATCGCAGCCCCAGCCCCACTGGGGCGCACAACCACACACACCCAAGCTCTGTTCCCCTGACCCCTCTTTTCCCAGGGCCTCTATCGAGATGGTGGAAGCCGAGGTGTCAGAACTGGATACCCGGCTGGAAAAGGTAGCATGGGCTTAAGAGGAGAGGGGCGGGGCCAGGGAGAAACTTGGAGACCTCGAAGGAGTTCCAGGGGTTTCTGAGTGCTAACCGTGTTGGGTAAATACTTTGGGGGCTATAGAGAAGGAGGAGATGGAAGTTCCACACCCTCCAAGAGCTCGGGGTCCTGGAAGACGAGACTCAACTTGTGGGTTTTACTGGGGCGGCTGTGAGCCCAAAATTACGCCAGGTCCTGGGCCTCAGGACAGCAAGACGGCTCTGCCCCCAGGGAGCTGACAGCCAGCCTTTGGGAAGCAAAACAGTGAGACACTTAAACACAGGCCACTAGGGCCCTCCAGGGCTACGCTTTATAAAATGTACACACGCACTTGTAAACACTCCCTGCCCCTTTACTGGGTTTGGTTTTTCCCCATAGCGTTGACCCCAGCCTCACATGTTACATATGTATCAGTGCGTTAGCTTTCTACTGCTGTGTAACAAGTTATTCCAAATTTAGTGGCATAAAACAAGGCACATTTGTTGTCATAGTTTTTGCGGGTCAGGAGCTGGGCACAGCTTAGCTGGCCCTCTGCTCAGGGTCTCATGCACTGCAGTCGATCGGAGGCTCGGGGTCTCCTTCCAAGCTCCTGAGGTTGACGGCAGACTTCAGCTCCTTGCTGCTGTGGGACTGAGACCTTCACCTCCTTGAAGCCATGCTGTCCCCTGCCCTGTGGCCCCCCCTGCCTAGGCAGTTCCCATCAAAGCGGCTTGCTTCCTCAAGGCCAGTGGGAGGGGTTTTGTAGCACATGGTGCAAATACGGCCTCGATTTACACGGAAGTGAGGTCTCAGGAACAGCGGCGTCTGGCACCTCTGCCCCATGCCACAACCTGACCATGGGTGCGCAGACCCATGGCCTTTGCTGTGTCCTGTTGGGTAGGATCAAGTCACGTGTGTCACACTCGGGGGGCGGGGATAATGCAAGAGAGGGAACCTCCAGGTCCCCTTGCAGTGTGTCTCTCACACTTGCCAAGTGTTTTCTCTTTCTTTTTTAATAAGAATGTTTTTCATTGTATTTGTTTTAGAGAGAGAGCCCTGTGGGGGAGAGGGGCAGAGGGAGGGAGGGAGAGAATCTCAAGCAGGCTCCAAGCTCAGCGCAGAGCCAGTGGCGGGGCTCGAACCCATGAAACTAAGATCATGACCTGAGCTGAAATCAAGAGTCGGACGCTTAACCGACTGAGCCACCTAGGTGCCCCCATGATAAAGTAATATATATTTTTAAATAAAACTGTTCTATTTTGAGTTAATTATAGTCTCACAAGAAGTCACAAAGCCTGTAGACGGTACGGAGAGGTCCCACACACCCCTCGCCCAGCCTCCCACACTGGCGGCATCTTGTGTGATCCTAGTACTTTTACCAAAACCAGGAAATGGACATCGGCATGATTCAATGCCTGTCTATGGACCTTACTTAGATTTTAGCTGTTTTGCAAATACAGTTGACCTTTCAACAACATAAAGATTAGGGGCACTGACCCCCCCCCCCACAGAATCAAAACTGTACATATAATTCTTGAATCCCCAAAAACTTAACTGATAGCCTGCCACTGACCAGAAGCTTTACCAGTAACATAAACAGTTGATTAACGAATATTTCATGTGGTGTGTGTATTGTATACTGTTTATACAATAAAGGGGGCTAGAAGAGAGAAAGCGTTATTAAGGAAATCATAAGGGGGCGCCTGGGTGGCTCAGTCGGTTAAGCGTCGACTTTGGCTCAGGTCATGATCTCGCGGTTCGTGGGTTCGAGCCCCACATCGGGCTCTGTGCTGACGGCTCGGAGCCTGGAGCTGCTTCGGATTCTGTGTCTCCCTCTCTCTGATCCTCCCCTGCTCATGCTGTCTCTCTCTCTCTATTAAAAAAATTTTATTAGAGGGGCGCCTGGGTGGCTTAGTCGGTTAAGCGTCCGACTTTCGCTGAGGTCATGATCTCGCGGTTCGTGGGTTCGAGCCCCACATCGGGCTCTGTGCTGACGGCTCGGAGCCTGGAGCTGCTTCGGATTCTGTGTCTCCCTCTCTCTGATCCTCCCCTGCTCATGCTGTCTCTCTCTCTCTATTAAAAAAATTTTATTAGAGGGGCGCCTGGGTGGCTTAGTCGGTTAAGCGTCCGACTTTCGCTGAGGTCATGATCTTGCGGTTTGTGGGTTCGAGCCCCGCGTCGGGCTCTGTGCTGACTGCCAGCTCAGAGCCTGGAGCCTGTTTCAGAGTCTGTGTCTCCCTCTCCCTCTGCCCCTCCCGTGCTTATGCTCTCTCTCTCTCTCTGTCTCTCAAAAATAAACAAGTGTAAATAAAAGAAGGAAGAGGAAGGAAGGAAGAAAAGAAAAGAATAAAAAGAGAAAAGAGGAACCTGGGTGCTCTATGCCCCGGCTGCACCCAGCCAGGTTGGGAGCGTCTGGGTCCTGGGTCCTGGTGGCACAGGTCTCATGGTGACCTCCAGTGAGGTTGGGGTGTGGTTGGTTTCCTGACCGTCACTGAGCCTGTCAGCGACCATCAGGTCAAGCTGTAATTCCTGCAGCCTTCACGAGCCCTAGAAAGTGATTTCCAGTTCAGGAAAAGTCCACGGAGAACCCAGGTGGCCCAAGCTCTCGTGGGCCCCCGCTGCCCAGGATCGTTACACAGGACGTCCCTGGCGGTCTCCTGTCCCCCGGGCCGCGCTGAGGGGCTCCACAAACACTTGTGCAGCCCTGCTGCGGCGACTCAGGCCAGAGCCGAGTGGTGTCACCTCGGGGGGCAGTGCAGTGACAGAAGATAACAAGGCCAAGAAGTCAGGAAACCTCACTTTGGTTTCTGACTCGGCCGCCTGGCCCTACCACAGGGACCCTCCTCGGGCCACTCAGCTGTCCCCTTATTTCTTGCATTTATTTAATAAATTAGTTGATTGATTTTAATGTTTATTTATTTTTGAGAGACAGAAAGAGTGTGAGCAGGGGAGGGGCAGAGAGAGAGGGAGACACAGAATCGGAAGCAGCTCCAGGCTCCGAGCTGTCAGCACAGAGCCCGACGCGGGGCTCGAACCCTCCAACCGTGAGATCATGGCCTGAGCCGAGGTCAGACGCTCAACCGACTGGGCCACCCAGGCGCCCCAACTCTCCCGTTATTTCTCAAGCCCCCTTGTTTGTCAGCCGAAGGGGGGTTGCAGCAAAATGGGCCCTCGGAACACCCTAACGGGCCCTCTGCCATTCCTGTTCATGAGGGAAATTGCTCCGTGTGCACAGAATGGGAAAGCTCCTGCGGGTAGAGACGGCTAGAATTAAAACCACCCAGGCAGCGCCTTTGCCCTGTGAGCCGTACAGTGCGTGAGCATGGAGTTTCTGGAAAGCTCTGGATCCAGGCGGCTGGGCCCGGGCAGGGAGGGATACGTGGAAGTGGATGGAGAAAGATAGGCTGGAGCCAGCTGTCAGTGGCTTTGGTCACAGGCTGGGAGGACTTCGCCTCCAGGCACGGAGCCGGAGGAGATGAGAAAGCGCTAGCTGTGTGTTAGCGCCTGGGAGTAGGGGCTCAGCGAAGGAGGGATGCGGCCCTGGGAAGGGAGAGGCAGGGGGGCCGCTGTGGGGGCGCCACGCAACTCCCCACCCCTCCCTGTTGCTTCTCAGCTCCTCAAGATGGGGAACAGCCTCCTGGAAAGTGGGCGTCATTACCTCGCCGCCGGCCGCACCTTCATCGCCGGCATTTGTGACCTGGCCCGCCTGGGTCCACCAGAGCCCATGATGGCGGTAGGTAGGGGGCTGCAACCAGGCTGGGGGGGGGGGCTGGAAGGGGAGGGTCGGCGGGGGTCTGCAGGTCCCAGGCCAGGGCGGGGCAGGGTCCAGAGCCGGGGTCCTGCCGCCCCATGCCCGCTGCTCTCTCTCTCTCTGACTTTCCACGCCCAGGAATGTCTGGACAAATTCACCCAGAGCCTCAGCCACAAGCTGGACAGCCACGCGGTGAGCGGGGGAGGGTGGCGCCGGGGCGGGGGGCCGGGGCATCAGGGCTGTCTGCGCCCGACCTTCACCTGCTGGCGTCTGCTCCACCCCCCGTCAGGAGCTGCTGGACGCCACCCAGCACACCCTGCAGCAGCAAATCCAGACGCTGGTCAAGGAGTGAGTGGGGAGTGAGTGGGGAGGGGACCCGTGCTGCGTCCCTCTTCCCTGGAGGAAGGAGCTGTGCGGTGGGGGGTTTCCAGTGGGCTGACTGCCGTCCCCATCCCGACACCCCCCCACAGGGTCCTGTCCAGAAGGCCCTCGAGCGGGCCTCCGCAGGGGATCCCTCTGCCTGGGGGGGGGGGCAGGCGGGGCACCTGTGGGTGTGTGTTGTCCTCCAACCCCGCAGAGGCCTCCGGGCCTTCCGAGAGGCTCGCCGGGATTTCTGGAAGGGGGCTGAGAGCCTGGAGGCTGCCCTGATCCACAACGCCGAGGTCCCCCGGCGCCGGGCCCAGGAGGCCGAAGAGGCGGGAGCTGCTCTGAAAATCGCGAGGGCCGGGTACCGGGGTCGAGCACTAGACTATGCACTGCAGGTGCCCACCCCAGCCTGTCCCCTGGGGCCCCGGGACCCTCCGCAGCCCCCGGTGGGAGGTGGGAGGGGATGCCATGTTTTCGAGACTCACCCCCCACCATCTTTTGGGGGCCCCCAGATCAACGTGATTGAGGACAAGAGGAAATTTGACATCATGGAGTTTGTGAGTTGGGGCAGGGCAGGCGGGCAAGGGGCCTGCTGGGCGCAGGGGGCAGGAGGGAGGAGGGAAAGACAGGCGGGTCCCTCGTCAGCTCTGCCCCCCACCCTGTCGCCCAGGTGCTGCGTCTGGTGGAGGCCCAGGCTACCCATTTCCAGCAGGGCCACGAGGAACTGGGCAGACTGGCCCAGTATCGCAGGGACCTGGGCGCCCAGGTAGGGCCCCAGGGAGTGGGCGGTGGTGGAGGGGGGGTGTGGGGGGCCCCGAGATGCCTGTCCTGGTCCTGTTCGGGGAGGGGGACGCTGGGGACATCTGAAATGCCCCTCCCGTGCCCAGTTGCACCAGCTGGTCCTGAATTCGGCTCGAGAGAGGAGGGACATGGAGCAGAGGCACGTGCTGCTAAAACAGAAGGTGAGGGTCTCCCGCCCGCAGGAGGGTGCCGCCCCCCCCCCCCCCCCCCCCCCCCCCCCCCCCAGCTGCCCTGTGTCCCCAGGAGCTGGGTGGGGAGGAGCCAGAGCCAACCCTGAAGGAGGGGCCTGGCGGCCTGGTCATGGAAGGACATCTCTTCAAGCGGGCCAGCAACGCATTTAAAACCTGGAGCAGGTGAGCAGAGACGCCCCGGAGCCGCGCCCCCTCGGGTCAGTGTTTTTTGGGTGGTTTTGTGAGCTAAGCACCGTGAGAAAACACAAAGGGAACCCGCAGTGAACGTGACAGTAGATTCTGTTACGTTGGATGGTAAGAGTAGCATCGGAGAAAAATAATAAAGCAGGAGATGCGGAGACCTGGGGAGGGTTGCAGTTTTCAATGTTTAAAAAAATTTTTTTAATGTTTATTTTTGAGAGAGATAGAGCGTGAATGGGGCAGGGGGCAGAGAGAGAGAGACACAGAACCCGAAGCGGCTCCAGGCTCCGAGCTGTCAGCACAGAGCCCGACGCGGGGCTCGAACTCACGAACCGTGAGATTGTGACCTGAGCTGAAGTTGGACGCTCAGTCGGCTGAGCCCCCCGGGCACCCCGGGGTTGCCGTTTTAAATAGGGCAGTCAGGGAAGGCTTCATGAGAAGGTGACTTCTGAGTGGAGACTTGAAAGGTCTCTGCGGGGAGAATTTTCTAGGCAGGAGGAGGAGGCAGTGCCAAGGCTCTGAAAAACCCGGGGCGTTGGAGGAGCAGAGCGGGCACGTGGTGTGGACGCGGGAGGAAGAAGCCGGCAGAGGTGGAGTCGGAGCTAACTGTGCACAACGATAGGGCCTTGTTGGCTTCTGTGGGGACTTAGGAGCCGTGGCAAGTGTGGCGCAGGGCGGGGGGGGGTCACCTGCTCTGCCTCCCCTCCTTCCCCTTCTGGGGTCACTGCCAGCCCATGTGGGATATTTGTGCAAATTAGAAAGTTGAGCCCCTTCCATAATATACCTCCACCTGTCAAAAAAAAAAAAAAAACTGTGGCAATAGACTCGGGGCGCCTGGCTGGCCCAGTGACCAGGGCACGCAACTCTTGGTCTCTGGGGTTGTGCGTTCCAGCCACACTGTGCTGGGTGTAGCGACTGTTTCCAGGTGCCTGGGTGCCCAGGTGTACACAGGCGTGTACAGGTGCCTGGGTAGCTCAGTCGGTTAAGCGTCCAACTTCAGCTCAGGTCACCATCTCGTGGTCCGTGGGTTCAAGCCCCGCGTTGGTCTCTGTGCTGACAGCTCAGAGCCTGGAGCCTGCTTTGGATTGTGTCTCCCTCTCTCTCTCTGCCCCTCCCCTGCTCACACTCTCTCTCTCTCTCTCAAAATTAACTTAAAAAATATATATGTATACTGTAGACATTTTTAAAATTATATGCATAGACCAATTTTATTGGAAAAAGCATTTTACTGCCGTGTGCTGGAAGGTTCCCTTCCAAACATTATCAAATCTGGGCTGTGGGAGATGCGAGCAGCCCCGCCCGCCATGCCCCGCCTTGCACAGCTCAGTGCCCTCCTCTGCAGCGTCCCGCGGTGGGGACAGTCAGCCCAGCTCTCCCGGGGCGGAGGGCGCAGCCTCTGCACCACTGCTGTCCCCAGCTCATCCCAGTGCTGCCCATGCCCACAACTCTCTTTCCTCCACCTCCAGACGCTGGTTCACTATTCAGAGCAACCAACTGGTCTATCAGAAGAAGTACAAGGTAGGGAGGCAGGGCCCTGGGTGCTGGGGCCCGGGGACACTTGGGCTCCCTGCGGCGGGCTGGCTGCCCCTCACCACCTTCCCGTTCCAGGACCCTGTGACCGTAGTGGTGGATGACCTTCGTCTCTGCACGGTGAAGGTCTGCCCTGACTCGGAAAGGCGGTTTTGCTTCGAGGTGGTGTCGCCCAGCAAGTGAGTGCATGGTGGGGGGGGGGGCGCCACCCTGATGCAAGGAAAAGGGGCGTCTCAGAGGCCCCCCGTGTGGCGCCCGGCATTAATGCTTTGGTGGCTGGATTGGAGGGCAGTCTGGGATGGGGTGCTTTCGGGGGGACAGGAGATATTTAGCAAGATAGGACCGGGGCGCCTGGGTGGCTCAGTTGGTTAAGCATCTGACTTCGGCTCAGGTCATGATCTCACGGTTTGTGGGTTCGAGCCCCGCGTCAGGCTCGAGCCTGGAGCCTGCTTCGGATTCTGTGTCTCCCTCTCTCTCTGACCCTCCTCTGCTCACGCTGTCTCTCTCTCTCTCTCTCAGAAATAAATAAAAACATTAGAAATTAAAAAAAAGAAAAAAGAAAAAAGAAAGATAAGACCAGCTGGTGCCGCATTTCTATCCAGCTGGTATTTCGTATCTCTTTACGACTGGTCCGGGTTAAGTAGCAGCTGTCACCTCCCACGCGGCCCCCCAGGCCTCAGACACCCCCCCGCCCCCCCTCCCCTCCTGCCCAGGTCCTGCTTCCTGCAGGCCGACTCGGAGCGCCTCCTGCAGCTGTGGACCAATGCCGTGCAGAGCAGCATAGCCACGGCCTTCAGCCAGGCTCGCCTCGACGACAGCCCGTGGGGGCCAGGCCAGGTGCCTTAACACGAGGGTGCGGGGCCCGGCTGCCCGGGGAGACGAGGCACCCCTTCCCCGGGCCCCATGGCCACTCTGTCTTCCCCTGTCTCCCCCCAGGGCTCAGGACACCTGGCCGTGGGCTCCTCGGCCACCATGGCCTATGGCGGAGCGGCCAGGGGAAGGGACTCTAGCGGAGCCGGGCACGTGGCAGCCCAGGTGCAGAGCGTGGACGGCAACGCCCAGTGCTGTGACTGCCGAGAGCCCGCCCCCGAGTGGGCCAGCATCAACCTCGGCGTCACCCTCTGCATCCAGTGCTCCGGCATCCACAGGTCACCACCCGTGACCGGCTGTGGTGGGGGTGGGGGTGGGGTGGGGTGGGGGCGGGATTGAGCCCGTCAGGGACACCTCCCTCCCACCCTGCCCTGGCTTACTTTCTTAGATGCTGGCGGGCACTGGGCACAGTGTCCTGGTCTGGCCAGAGATGCTTATTGGCTTGAGCGTGGGGTCAGGGCTCTTGAGGGTCAGGGAGCAGAGAGAGGAGAGGTCACCAGGCCCTAGCAAGTCTAGGACGCCCTCCGCCCGAGTCAGCCTGGTAGAAGGAGGGGGGAGTGTCAGGGCACGTGTGGGGAAAATGAAGACGCTGAAAATGAAATGTAGGAGGGAGAAGGGGGGAACCGTGAGCAGAGCAAGGCCACGTGGCCCGCTGCCCTGCCCCCCACCTGGCCAGCACCTCTGCTGCAGGGGTGGGGGGGCCCTGCCTCCAAGTCCCCCTGGGGAGCCGCGGCTGCTGCCCCCCCACAAGGGACCTGACCCCCACTCTGCCCCTCAGGAGCCTTGGAGTTCACTTCTCCAAAGTGCGGTCCCTGACCCTTGACTCATGGGAGCCAGAGCTGGTGAAGGTGACTGGGGGGCCGGGGAGGGGTGGCTCCTGATGGGACAGGGAACTGGGGGGGCTGAGTCCCAGGGCTGCCACACTCACCTTCATCCCCCCCCCCCCCCCCACCGTCTGGCTCTGCCTCTGCCTGGACCCACCGAAGCTTATGTGCGAGCTGGGGAACGTGGTCATCAACCGGATCTACGAGGCGCGGGTGGAGGCCATGGCCGTGAAGAAGCCCGGGCCCACCTGCTCCCGGTGAGGCCGGGGTGGCTGTGGGGGGGGGGCCGCCTGCTGTGGGGGAGGAGGAGGGTTCAGGACCTCAGGAGGGAACATGGTCCCCCTCTTCCCCACCACACTCTCCCAGGCAGGAGAAGGAGGCCTGGATTCATGCCAAATACGTGGAGAAGAAGTTCCTCACCAAGCTCCCCGAGATTCGAGGGCGGAGAGGTGGCCGGGGGCCCCCCAGGGTGCAGCCACCCGTGCCCCCAAAGCCTTCCGCCCGGCCCCAGCCCGGGAGCTGCAGATCCAGGCCAGGTAAGAGGGCTGCCGGGGCACTGACGGAGCCTGGCTGTGTGCCCCGCGCTATGCCAGGCCCCTAGAGGAGGCACAGAGCACAGAGGCCCGAGCCTTCCCCTTGCCAGTACTGGGGGGCGGGGCGCAGGCCCCAGCAGCGCTGGTGTTACCAGGCAAGAGTTTGGGGGTTAGGGGAAGAAGGGGAAGGAGCGTAGGGCTGGGAGTAGGCAGCTGCGGGTGAGTGACGTTCGAGGTGAAGGTAGTTGGACAGGGAGAGGTAAGTGATGCCGTCTCTCCCCCCTGCCCCAGGGACCGCGCACACACAGGCACCTCCTGCCCCCCACCATCATGCCTCCACCTCCTACCCAGGGACCGCGGGTCCTGAAGGCCCGCCCACAACCGAGAAATGTCCTGTCCCGGTAGAGCGTCAGCGGACCGTGCTGAGGGTTTCTTCCCACGCCCTAACAGAGCACCCCTCTGATGACCTGGACAGCCTCCACCCTGGGGCCCTGCTGTTTCGAGCTGCGGGGCACCCTCCATCCCTCCCCACCATGGCGGATGCCCTCGCCCACGGAGCTGATGTCAACTGGGTCAACGGGAGTCGGGAGAATGCCACTCCACTGATCCAGGCCACAGCTGCCGTGAGTCCCCGCCCCCACCCGGAGGCTCCCCCTCTCTGATTCCCACTGTGACCCTGAGCCCAGCTCCTACCCCCTCCTCCCACCCCAGCGGGAGTGATAACCCACAGAGACTGGTTGCGAACCGTGTGTGGTTTGGAAGCAGACAACCTGGCTTTAAATGCAAGCTGGTGACTCTTTGTGCCTCAGTTTGCACACCTGGAAAATGGGAATAACATACCTTGTCTGAGGCTGCACTGCGGCTTTAACGTATGAATACTGTAAAGAGCTAGGGCAGAGCCTGAGCCAGGGGAACCCCACACTGCTGGTTCCCCTACCCCACCCTCTGAACTGGCCCCATCCCCAAATATCTTTGGCCTGCTTCTAAAGATGCCACTGTCTCTCCCCGCTCGCAAACCTCTCGCTGCAGAATTCCCTTCTGGCCTGTGAGTTTCTCCTCCAGAACGGGGCGAATGTGAACCAAACGGACAACCACGGCCGCGGGCCGCTCCACCATGCCACCATTCTCGGCCACACGGGGTAGGGGCAGCGGGGACGATGGCTGTGGGAAAGGCGGCCCGGGTAGGGTGAGTGGCCCGCTGACCCTGGCTGCCCTTTCCAGGCTGGCCTGCCTGTTCCTGAAACGGGGGGCCGATCTGGGAGCTCGGGACTCGGAAGGCAAGGACCCCCTGACCATCGCCATGGAAACAGCCAATGCTGACATCGTCACCCTGTAAGGCCGCCTGAGGGGGCGGGGCCAACGCCCCGAAGGCCTGGGCCGGCTCCAGGACCTGGCTCCGGCCAGGGCTGTCCTCAGTGCAGATTGGGGGGCGGAGTACGAAGGGGGCCGGGTAGGGTCCACGGATGGGGAGTTCGTCCTGAGTGCGGGGCGTTCGAGGCTGACGAACGCCTTTAAGCACTGGACCCCAGGGGAGCAGGTGAATTAACCCAGCTTAGAGGACGGGAAGTCCGAGTGGGGGGAGGGAAGAAAAAGTCATGCACACCTTCATTCCTTCCCCTTCAGGCTACGACTGGCAAAGATGAGGGAGGCCGAAGCGGCCCAGGGCCAGGCAGGTAAAGTACCCCGCGCCCCGCGCCCACACTGTAACTCTGGGCTTCTGGCCCCCGAAGCCCGGGCCCCGTCGCGCTCAGCAGCACTGATTAATGTCAGCACTTTTGCGACAAACCTGTGTGGGGCGCAGCTGGCGCGCGGGGTCCGCGGAACAGAGCGGGGAACCCGCTAGGGCGCTGCGCCGACGGCGCGCCCTCGGGGCCCCCTCCCGCCGCGCCCGCCCAGCCCTCCCTCCCCCCACCCAGGAGACGAGACGTATCTGGACATCTTCCGCGACTTTTCCCTCATGGCGTCCGACGACCCGGAGAAGCTAAGCCGGCGTAGCCACGACCTCCACACTCTCTGATCCCAGGATTTCGCGGGCCCGCGCCCCCAGCCCCCTCTCCCCCGCCGCCCGCCCTTTGGTCATTAAAGCCGCTGTGCATTGCGCTTCCCGAGGTGGTTCTTTCGCAGGGCGCCACCTTCGGGCCGCGCCGGGGACTGGGCGCTGCGGCTGCCGGGGTGCGCGGGCGGCGGCGGTTCGCGAGCTCGAGTCACGCAAGGGGCGCCTCCCGGACCAACTAGGTGGAAGCTTCGGCCGCAGCCCTCGCGCCGCGCGGCCCTGGGGCGGGGCTCTCGGGGTCGGGCGACGTGGCCAGACGGGTCAGGCCGGGGAGAGGCCGCCCGCGTGGGCCGGGGGCCGGCTTTCCGTTGGGGGGAGCTGGCGTCGGGCCGCGCCGGAGAGGCTGGCTGCGGCCACCCCGGCCCGGAGGCATCCCCGGAATGCGGCGGCTCAGCACCCGCCCCCTCGGGAATTCCCTGCGGGAGCGAGCGCGGAGGGCACCGCCTCCGAGCCGGGGACGCCCGGCCTGGGGCCCCCTGGCGAGCTGCGGACGTGAGGCCCGGCACACCTGCGGGGCCTGCGGGGCTGCCGCGGCCACAACCGGAGCGACATGCCTGAGTCACCCCGCGGACCCCACCCCCGGCCGCGGCCGCCCGTCCAGCCTGTCCGCCCCGTCTCTCCGGTTCCAGACTCGGCTCCCACCTCCGCCCGGGCGGCGCGAGCCCGGCGGGGGCGGGGGGCGGGGCGCCGAGGGGGCGGGGCTGTCTCTTAAAGGGCCCCCAGCCGCTGCCCTGAGGCCACTTCCTGGGGGCGGAGAGGACTTCGGCGGCTGCGGCGACACCCGGGCTGGCGACGGCGCCCGGGTCCCGAGACCCCCGGCGGCTTCCCTCAGAGTCCCCCGGCGCGCCCGGCTCGCACTGAGCGTGCGCCCTCGCTCCCCAGCGGACCCCGAGCCCCTCCGCCGCCAGCTGCGCTCAGCCCAGCCTCGGTCGCCGGAGACCCGCGCCGCAGCCAGGCCCTGGCCGGCCTCCGACTGGCCACCGGCGCCAGCCTCGTCCGCGGCGACAGCCATCTCGCCGAGAACTCGGAAGCGGGGTCCTTCCCAGGGTCGGCCTGTGCTCGCCACCGTCACCTGCTGGTTGGACTCCGGAAATCCGCTTTGTGAAGACCACGGGAGAGACTTGCTGACCCAGGGCTCTGCATCGAATGCGTCTGGCCGAAATCTCCCTCCCCTCTCTGGCTTCTGTTCTTTTCGGGGCCGGCCGTGTCTGTGCCGGACACCGTCCCCCACTACCACGGTAGCGAGGACGAGCCCGAAAGCTTCCTGCCTTGGGCTCTAACCTGTGCATCCAACCCAGAGTCTGAACGAACGTCAGGCCCCAGTTCTGCCCACTCCCAGGGCGTCTGCATTTTCTTCTCTGTGGGTGTCTCGCGTACTCCCCCAAAATTTCTCCCCCTCCTGTGCCCTCTTCGCCCCCCTCTTTTGGGGGCCCTGTGACCCTGAATGTGGGGGGCACACTCTATTCCACCACTTTGGAGACCCTGACTCGCTTCCCAGACTCCATGCTGGGGGCCATGTTTAGGGCCGGCACCCCCATCCCCCCCAGCCTCAACTCCCAGGGAGGCGGCCACTACTTCATCGACAGAGATGGCAAGGCCTTCCGGCACATCCTCAATTTTCTGCGGCTGGGCCGCCTGGACCTGCCCCGTGGGTATGGGGAGACGGCCCTTCTCAGGGCAGAGGCGGACTTCTACCAGATCCAGCCCCTCCTGGATGCCCTGCGGGACCTGGAGGCCTCTCGGGGGAGCCCGGTGCCCACAGCCGCCCTGCTCCATGCAGATGTCGACGCCAGCCCCCGCCGGGTGCACTTCTCCGCTCGCCGGGGCCCGCACCACTATGAGCTGAGCTCTGCGCAGGTGGATACCTTCCGGGCCAACATCTTCTGCACAGACCCCGAGTGCCTGGGCGCCATGCGGGCCCGATTTGGGGTGGCCGGTGAGGACAGGGCAGAGGGAGGCCCGCACTTTCGCCTGGAGTGGGCCCCCTGTCCCGCAGAGCTCCCCGAGGCGGAGTATAGGAGGCTGGGGCTACAGCCCCTGTGGACTGGAGGGCCCGGAGAGCTACGGGAGGTGGTGGGCGTGCCCGGCTTCCTGGAGGAGGTGCTGCGGGTGGCTCTGGAACACGGCTTCCGTCTAGACTCCGTCTTCCCCGACCCCGAAGACCTGCTCAACTCCCGATCTCTGCGCTTCGTGCGACACTGAGAACGCAGCCCTCCCTGGGGAGGGGACAGAACGGACAGCAAAGGGAATGAAAGCTCCCCTCCCCCGCCCCGGCCCCCCGAAGCCTCTTCTTAGCTCTGCCTCTGGAGCTGTGAGGGTCAGGGCTGCACCTGACTGGAGCCCAGATGTGGGCAGGAACTCCGGAACCTGAGCCCGCTGGGGTGCACAAGCCACATGAAGGGGCTGGCTCGGTGCTAATCCAGGCAGGGGAGGAAGTGTCCCCGGCTTGTTCTTGCCTGGGGCTGGGGGCCTCCAGGGCCTCCTTGTTGGAGCTCGGTGTTCAAGGGTCTAGAGAAGTAGGGACACCTCTCTGCCCAGGCAAGGCCCCGCAGAACGTGGGGGGGACACTGACGTGTGGGAGAAAGGGGGACTTCGAGTTGCTCTGACGTGGTCTCCTGGACCGTGGCCTCTGCAGCTGGAGGGCCTGGCCCGGCCTGACTGAAGACAGGCCAGAACATTCTAGAATATGGGAAGGGGGCTCCTTTGCTCTGTCTCCAGGCACCTACTGAGGGAGACAGGAAGGCCACACCCCTGGCCCAAGGGAGCGAGGAGAATCCCCATTCACTCTGTGGCCGGAGCCCCGTGTTCCGGAGCCACGTTTGTAAAGAACCCTCTATTGATGGTGGAGCTGGCCTTTGGGAAGAGGGTGGCATCTTCTTGGCCTTGGCCTTCCTCCCTTCATGTGTGTACGCGTGTCAGCCAGCGTGCCTGAGCGACGGGGCCCTCCGACATCCGGGCCCCCGTCTGTGTGCCGGTGCCTCCGTGGTCTCCGCCTGTCCGGGCCTGTCTGGGGTTGCCCAGCAATGGCTTTGGCTCTGGGTATGTCTGGCGTATGGGTGTGAGTAGAGTGAGAATGAGTAGTTGGATCACAAGGGGAGGAAGTGTGTGTACGTGCATGCATGTGTGTTCACATCACCGCGTAGGCAGGAGGGGCCTGTGGAGGTCCGAGTCTCCAGGACCTTCCTGGTGAAAGTAAGAGGAGTCACTGGGCCCAGCTGGCCCTTGAGGCCCGTGTAGAACTCTTGGTCGCTAAGGCAACCGTGGGCACGTTGCTAGGAGATCGCTGGCAAGGCCCAAGGCCTCCCAGGGCAGAGGGGAGATGAACGAGGGATGGACGGAGAGGTGGGGGCGGATGTGGGAACGGATGGTATTTCTGGGTCCCCGAGGGATGGGACCCTCACACACAATGTCTCCACCAGGGACTCGCTCACTATTTATCGCTGGCCACGAACTTACAAGAAGAAAAATAAAATTGCTTTCTGGAACCTCAAGCTTGTAAAGGCTGCTGCTGGGGGCCGGGTGGGGGGTGGGGGGCGCTGCCCCCTCTGTGGCAGAAGCCCAGTCTTCTTCCGGTCCCCAGGCCCCTGGGCCCCTGCTTTGCCCTAGCCAGAGTTGGGGTGGCGGTGCTCTAGAACCCCCAACTGTTCCGGAACAGTCTAGAACCTCCAGGCAAAGGGCTGGATCCAGCATTGCAGCACTCCAAGGCCTTCCCAGCCTACATGGGGCCAGCCCCCCTCCGCCACCCGCCGGCAGGCCTTCTGTGGGTGCTGGCGCTCGGGGGGGTTTTCCTGGGGGCCGCCCAGGCCTGTGTCCTCTGTCATCTCTCAGACCGTGACTTGTCGGGCCGCCTGGCTCGACTCTGCAGCCAGGTGGAGGCTCGCTGGAAGAACTGTAGGGCCTCCTGGAACTTCCCGGCCTTTGCCTTAGGTAAGATCAGACATCCGGGGCCAGCCTGGCAGCGTGTGGCCTCCCGGCTGAGCCCCTCAGCCGCCACCTGCGTCCCCGGCCCTGGGAGAGTCAGGAAAGTCACAGGTCCTTGCCTGTCTCCACAGATGAGATGTTCGTGAGCAAAGTCATAGAGAAGACTCACAGAGTCCTGAGGGTCATGGGTGAGGTCAAGGGCGAAGGCACCACCTGGGGCTTGGATGGGCCCCGGGGGGAAGGGGAGGGGAGGAGGGGGCTGGGGAGGCAGGGAAGGGTGGAGACAGGAGGTGTGACCCGGTGACCTGGGAGGTGCTGGGTGAAGGGGCGGACGTGCACCCGCCCCGGGGAGGCCCTGGGCCACAGCTGCCCTCTGTCTCCCCAGAGATCAAAGCGTCTCCCTCCTCACTCCCTTTATATTGGCAATGGCTGCAAAAGGTCAAGCTTCCCGAGTACACCAGGGAAGGTACAGACGCGGGCAGGGACTAGGGGCGCCCGGGCTCTCTAGGGCGAAGGGGTGTGTGGCTGAGCATCCCCTCTCCCCCCACCCCTCCTCGTCTCTGGTTTCAGCTCTCTGTGCTCCCGCCTGCCGTGAGTAGTAAAGGATAGGGGTAGGTGAGGGCGGGCCGTCTGGAGTCCCCAAGGAGAGCCTGGCAGCGGCCTGGGGGGCAGTGGGGTGCTCTGGAAGGTGGGCGCCGGGGCTCCCCTGCCCAGCTCTGGCCCGGCTATCTCCTGCAGGGGGCAGCACCATCCTGTACAACTGTTCTACCTGCGAGAGCTTCCTGGCGCACTGCTGGCCTCGAAAGCGCTGCCTCCCAGGTTTCACTCCCCGCCCTCGCCTCACCCCTGCTCAGGTCTCTGAGCTCTTGGGCTCCCCCCCCCCCATGAGGACGAGTGAGGTGCCCAGGATCACTCACCGCCTCCTGGGTTCCCCGCAGGAAGTCATGATCTTCGGGAGGCCAGGATCCTGCTTCTCTCTGTCTCCATAACCATCCTGCTTCTGGGCTTCCTGAGCCTCGCGGTGGAGTGAGTGGGCAGCTAAGGGCAGAAGCCACCCTTGACCCCCCCCAGTACCTTCTACCGCCGTCCCTATGCCCTCTCCTCCCGGCTGCCTGCCCTGCCCTTCCCAGGGCCCCCATGGTCTGTGTCCCCTCAGGTCCAGACACTTCAAAGCAAAAAGTGACATGTGAAGACGGTGACACATTTCCAGCCCCCACGTCCCTGGGAAGGGACCCGCCAGCCTCTCACTCCCAATCCCAAAGGCTCGTCCGTCCGGACCCTGAAACCCAGTCGTCTCCGTGATCCCAGAGGCAGATGGCCTCCAGGGACCCAGGCACCCACAGCTGGAAAGTTCCTGCCCTCCAGCCCTCAGCTGATCAGCCAAGAGCTGTCACTAATTCCAGGAAAATGTCTACAGGAGGAAAGAATCCCCTACACACACACACACACACACACACACACAGCCCGCCGCTCCCACACCCCCTTCTGCCTATTCTCGGAAAGCGGGGGCCGTCTGCCCCAGAAGCTACGCTTGGCCCTCCGATGACTGATCGGGAATCCGGGAATGAGGGTTCTGGAAAACTCCCTCCCTTTAGGGTTGCGACCACATCAGTCAGCCTGCTGGCATGCTGTCCCTCCATTTAACATTGTGAAGCCTCGGCCTCCCGCAGAGGCCTCCCTCCTGCCAAGATCAAGTAAACCTGCTCTTAAACGGCCTCCTCCCCTGCCTGGCCTCCGTCTGCAGCTGGGGAGCGCAGAGGGGGGTCGGGAGGCTCGGCGTAGCCACAGTGGTTCTCAACTGGGGGGCGTTACCCCCCAAGAGACGTTTGGTAACATCTGGAGACGTTTTTATTGCTTCGATCGGGGGACGTGCTGCTGGCATTTGGGGGGACGCACCGGGGACACTGCTGAACGCCCAACGATGGACGGGGCGTCCCCCCAACACAGGATTATCCTGCCCAACGCCTCGTTGCGTGTGGATCAGAGACCCTGGCATTGGGTCCGCCGGCTATCAGGAGCTTTGGGTGCGGCAGATGGGTGACGAAACACAAAGAGAGGCCTGTCGCCAGCCCCAAGTCTCAGGCCAAGGGCCCCAGCCTGGAAGGGATCCTGACCCACATCTCGCCCGGTGGTTTTCAAACTGGGTACCCCGAGGCTCCGGGGCAGATGTTCTCATCCAGCTGCACATCGGAGTCACCTGGGCCTTAGATCCGGAGACTCTGAGTTTAGTGGCATCGAACGGGGCCTCAGTTAATCCACCTCACAACCAGCCAGGGCTCGAGCCGCTGTTTTCGGGGTGCTCATAAGGGTCCTGGAGATGGGGAGGGTGCCTACCCCTTCTAGGAAAGCGTGTTCAATATGATTTTACACGTTCTAGTCCAATCCCTTCGTTTTCTACCAGAAGGAGGGAAGAGAGAAAGAGAGAAGGAAGGAAAAGACCCTAAGAACATATGCCAAGTTCTTACAACTTGCCCGAGATCGTGCAACAACTCATGTCCATTCATTTGACAGGCACTTAGTGGGCGTGCAGCGGGCGCCAGGCAGGGTCCCCGCCCAGGCTGGGATGAGGAGCCGCGGCTGCTGACCATCCGGGTACCACGCCCCCCACCCCCACCCCTCCGTCTGCAGTAGCTGCCTCGCACCTGCCTGTGCTGTGCCCTCCCTCCCGCCGCAGCGTGTTGGAGCTGTCCCTGTCTTCACACCCAGCGCTCAGTGGGTCAGCCAGTCCTGCCCATTCTCGAAGGACCTCTGTCCTCTGTGTCCCCTTCTCCTGTCCTGCGGCCCCCAGGCCCCTCTCACGGTGGACTCCAGTCTCCCAAATATGCCATCTGACCACCCACCCCCTCCCGTGCACTGCATCTGCAGTGGCTACTCTGCCTTTGTCAAACTCCACGTTGTTTCTTTCTCTTCTTTTAAATTTATTTCTGAGAGAGAGAGAGAGAGAGAGAGAGAGAGAGAGAGACAGCATGAGCAGGGGAGGGTCAGAGAGAGAGGGAGTCACAGAATCTGAAAAAGGCTCCAGGCTCTGAGCTGTCAGCACAGAGCCCAATGCGGGGCTTGAACCCACGGGCATTGAGATCATGACCTGAGCCAAAGTCGGACGCTTAACCGACTGAGCCACCCAGGCGCCCCTCCTCATATTTTATTTTTTATATGTTTTTAACATTTTTTAAAGTTTAGTTTTGAGAGAGTGAGCAAGGGAGGGACACAGAGAGAAGGAGACACAGAATCTGAAACAGGCTCCAGGCTCCGAGCTGTCAGCACAGAGCCCGATGCGGGGCTCGAACTCACAGACTGCGAGATCATGACCTGATTCAAAGTCGGATGCCCAACCTACTGAGCTACCCAGGCACCCTCCCCCCATATTTTTAAAGCAGGTCATATATTTCATGGATTCTATGGCTTTTTTTGTTTGTTTGTTTACATTTTAGCAGCCCTGAGGAATCCGTTTTAACTCGAAGACATGTCAGGGCATAATGTGATACATTACAATTGATATCTTACCTTCAGTGAGATGCAATGGCATTGACCTTCCAGGATTACTGTCAGGTCCAAAGAGGTTCAGGGGCGCCTGGGTGGCTTAGTCGGGTAAGCGTCCGACTTTCGCTTAGGTCATGATCTCGCGGTTCGAGGGTTCGAGCCCCGCGTCGGGCTCTGTGCTGACTGCCAGCTCAGAGCCTGGAGCCTGTTTCAGTCTGTGACTCCCTCTCTCTCTGACCCTCCCCTGCTCACGCTGTCTCTCTCTCTCTCTCTCCTAGAAATAAATAAAACATTAAAAAAAAAAACAAAAAAACAAAGAGGTTCATATACGATGCTTGGTGCTGCGGCCAGCATGTAATGGACCCTCTTTAAGTATTAGCCATCACAACCTCTTACTTAAAACCCTTCCCTGGCCCTTCTTGCCTGTGGAAGAGAGTAGAGCTGGCCCTCGACCCTGGCATTCAAAGCTCTCCATCAGCAGTTCCCCATGTCTTTTTTGG